TATTGATATTATATTGATATTATATTGATATTATATTGATATTATATTGATATTATATTGATATTATATTGATATTAGGTTGATATTAGGTTGATATTAGGTTGATATTAGGTTGATATTAGGGTTTTGTTTTTTTTTTATTTTTCATAAACGGTCGTAATATCAATTGTATAAATTACTATTTACAATTATTTACGATTATTTACGAAAAAAAAAAATAATATACACCCCTTTTTTTTTTTTTGTACTCAAAAATTAAGAATCATGTATGTATCAAATGCAAATTGCGCTTAATATGGATTTCTACTATTGTACTGTACGTACGTACGTACGTTGAAATCTGCTATAAATTTGCATACTTAATTGCTTTCCCCCCCACTGAAAGTCGACAATAAAAAAAATTTAATTACCATTATTTAATCTGATCCTCAAAAGTCTAATAAATCCAATTTCCCATTCTCTACTTTCCAACTTGCAAATAATATCCTAATAATTTAAATAATGTTAGTATTTACTTGTTTTGTTTTCGCTTTGTCATTTTATTTTATTTTTTTTCCTAACATTTAAATTCTTTTTTTCATCAGCTTAATAAACATGTCAATTGAAGACGGAAAATACATCCAACAAAATGCTCCCCAACCACCAAAAATTGCAAACCCTGGCCCTCTTGGTCTCAGTGGTTTCGCTTTAACCACATTCGTTCTTTCAATCCATAACGCAGGCTCTACCACTGTCCCGTCCCCAAGTATCACTCTTGGTTTGGCCTTGTTCTATGGAGGTCTCGTACAACTTTTGGCTGGTATGTGGGAATTCAAGACAGGTAATACCTTTGGTGCTACTGCCTTCTCTTCATATGGTGGCTTCTGGATGTCGTTCGCTGTTATCATATTCCCAGGTTTAAACGTTACTGCCGCCCCAAATTTCGAACAAGCTCTCGGCATCTACCTTCTTGGTTGGACAATCTGTAAGCTTTTTTTCGATAATCCCATTCAAAATTTCCCATTCAAAATTTCCCATTCAAAATTTCCCATTCAAAATTTAATTAAAATTATTAAAATTTAATTTAATATATATTTACATTACTTTTTCAGTTACTTTCTTGTTATTCTTGGCCACTTTCCGTTCAACTGGTGGAATAATGGCTCTCTTCTTCTTCTTGACTCTCACTTTCTTGCTACTTACTATTGGCTGCTTTACCTCAGCAACCGCCACTAAAATCGGTGGTGTTCTCGGAATTATCACTGCGTTTATTGCTTGGTATAATGCCCTCGCAGGTCTCATAACATATTTCACTCTTCCAACTTTCGACTTGTCTGGTAAACGCGATTAAACAATTTACATAAAGATAGAAAAGATGTTTCAATTTTTTAGACATCCCTTTTTTTTTTCTTTTTTTTTTTTGGAGAGGCATAGTGAATTATAAAATTTTTGAAATTAATAATGTTACAATATTTTCGCGATTCGCCTTATCACAACTTTGATATGTATAAATGAATCATTTGTAAATTAAGAAACAAATTTTTTTTTTCCTCATAATATCTATAATAATACGTATCTTGTTAGCGTATCGTGTACAATTAATGTTTTATTTTTGTACTAATAGCATAATATTTTCTTTCTAATAAACTATATATTTCAGATCTTACGCGATAATTATTATTTAAATTTCTTATTTATTATTATTAAGTTTTGGCTTATATATAATCATATACGTATAGTCATATATAATCATATACGTATAGTCATATATAATCATATACGTATAGTCATATATAATCATATACGTATAGTCATATA